CCGCCTCAGCCTCCGTCCCCCTGCGGCTTCTGGCGGCTGTTCGCGGTAGCCGCGGTAGGAGATAGAGCTGACGGTTTTGTTGACCTCCGATAGATGGCACCACTAAAACTCCATATAATAAAAGTTTTGTCGATGACACCAGGTTTGTAATGCATTTCTGTTTATGTTGAAACGACAATGTTTATAGAAAAAAATACCTTTTATCGAGCAGGTACTTGCACACTTGGGAAGTAATCCATTACAAGTAACATATTACTTGTAATCCGTTACTTTCTTAAGTAATTCGGTAATTGCCACGTTACTTTTTTTTCGGAAGTAATTTGTAATGTAATTTCGTTACAAAATATTGATAACGGATTACTTTAATTACTCGTTACTTTAAAAAAAAAATATGAGCACAGCGCGGTCCAAGCCAACGCGTTTTGCTGCCCCTGCTCTGCCTGGTCTCCTCTTCTTCTATGTCCCTCATTTTTTACTCATTCCTCCTGGGATGATAGGGAAACACATTTCCGATGGTGACACATTCAGTGACGTCTGTTAAAGTGGTATACCATATGACGTAGGTTACCTTGCGTGGTAGCTTTTTTGTCACTTGGTAGGGCCCAGAAAACTTTGTGCGTGTTACATGGATGCCTTTCCTAACGATGACAAAGTCGTCCACTGGAATGTCAGGGACTGAACGAAATCTTTTGGCAAAGTTTTTCTTCATTATTTTCCTATAGAGCTCTTGCTGTTGACAGGTATTTTCTTCCGTCAGCATTATATCATCCTTGATGCCACGTTCATTAATGGAACTGGGCAAAGCAAATTTGGAGCAATCTTAGGAACAGAAAAAAACTGCAGTTTGGAGCAGGCTGGGAGCAGCAAACACGAGGTCTTGGAGCAAGTTGGGAACAGCATACGGGTTTTAAGAATGTCGAAATAGAGACTAAATGTCACCTGGTTCTCAACACTAAAGAAAATATGGCATGCAAATACCGTAATATCCCAAGTCATCACCTATCCCCGAGTCATCACCCACTTTACTTTTTGGGCAAATATCGATTTCCAAAAAAAAAAAAAAAAAAAAAAACACCGAGTGATCGCCCACCCTAGGGTGCCTTCATGTGCGCTTTGCTTGGGGTGATGACATCTGGCCATTTTGTTTCGAACGCTTATTTTTATTTTTTGTTCTGAAGCGCGCGAAAGAGCGTGTCCCTGCACGCGCTCGTGGCGCTGACTGTGCTACGGCGACATTTTGTTTCCTGCGATTTCTTTGTATTTTACCCGTGAGCGCGTGCTGTCGGCATCGGGTACTACAAACGATGGCATCACCCTAAACAGAAGGACATTGAGGCACCCTAGCCCACCCCTACCAATACCCCAACGCGAACTCCGCGATCCGCGAACGTTCATCCTACCCGAATTACGCGGCCGCAGACTTTACGGTTGGTGGACGTCCCTGACAAAATAAAATGAAGGATGGAAACGCACTCCTCTTTATTTAGGCATTTCCTCCCCGATTTCTGCTACCCCGAGGTCGCAGTACATTCAAGTATACAAAAGTGCCAAAAACGACAGAAACAATGAAATGTGAATAGAAGTGTGAAAGAGAACTTGGAGAAGAGTGGGAGGGGAGAAAAGTATCCCTGTCGTTTTTGGCGCTTTTATATATATGTGAATATGAACCAACTGGGGCCCAACTTTCTACTTTGTCGTAGTAGATGCGTGCGAAAGGAAAGCGATGGAGATAACAAAATGAAAATTTGTTTTGCTTACAAAAGTTTGTTAGGTAAAAAAAAAAAAAAAAGTAGGAAAGATAACATAAGTAGTGACCCATTCAGGGATCGCGATGGCAGCGAACGTCCCATATCCTGGACTGTGAACGCGGTGTAAGGTCAAAGTCTGTCTGCAGCAAAGTATAGGTCACCGTGAACCCGCTCCTTCTCCCAGAACGTCTCGGCCGCTGTTGGTAAGGTTAATTGTGTAATGTTTTAGACAAACGCCAACGCGTAAATAAAGATTTGCTGTAACGCGGCACGCAGACGCTTGTAGAGCGTCCCATTTTGAGCTCCGTGTTCGTGGTGCCGTCCACGCCACGCAGTAACGCCGCCTCAACCTGTGTTGATAGCATTCCGCGCACAGATGCATGCATGCACCAAACAAGAAAGTTGTGCAAGAGCCTGCTCCTTCCAATTGACAAGGCGCGATGCCAAGGTACTTGCCAACGCGATCGCCGACTTTCCAGCCTCTCCACCATCGCTCTCCGTCGGTTCTGTTGCCCGCTCGCATTAACTGTTCCACGGAGCGAGTTGACGTCATCAGTTTGAAGCGCGAAAACGGCACCTAGTTTCCCTGGTCCCAAAGGAGCGAAGTAAAGCTGATGGATTTCGCCTTCGGTTCCATTGGCTGGCGCGCGTCGACAGGGCTTCCATTGACCGCTACGCTCGTCAGTTTCCACGACCGCTCACCCCATGGCGCTGCGTGTCCATCAGCAAGGTCAGCGTGCCCAGGCGAGCACGCGCGCTGACCGGCGATGAAAAGTATGCAGCAGACGACAAAGGGAGCGGACGAGCGGCTTGCATGCTTTCGCATTCACAACTCATAAGAAATGGTTATAGTGAACCTCAAGATATTTTTTTTTCTAATGAAGAAAACATAGCGGGTGTTAGAAATGTGCTATCACGAAAAAAACGTTTGAGCTGTATGCCGATCGGCGATATTCATAGCGCGCACGCAAGCAACGGACTTTGCGATAGTCAAACGTTTTTTCATGAGCATTCTTGCATTTATAACAAGTTTTAGGTTTAAATTATCTCTTGTGGAGCCGTGCTAGATATATACCGAAGAGTAGGTGTGTCTAAAATTTTATAAACTTTTTGTGCTTGCCCACAGAGACATGGCCCACCCCACTTTTTTTTTATGAATTTCAGGTGGCAGGGGGTGGTCGATGTCTTAGGATATTACGGTAAGTGCATGCGAACATAACGGTAGTTTCAATAAACGTTTAGGCGGACATATTTTGACAAAATTGCATGCGAAAATGCACAAACATATGAAGCAAAACTGCACACGACAGTGTGACAAGTGATAATCCCAATTGAAAAGAGGTCAATATAAACATTTACAAATAGCTTTCACTGCTCAACATAGATTACAGATCTTCGGATTCGGATCCACTGGCGTCCCATTTGGGCGTGAAGTTCCAATGTCAATGTTGTTAACAGAAACTGCAAGATGGCTAATTTTGACGAGGCTCGTTTATAATTTCAGTTTGGCCACACGCTGGCACAATTTTGCTCTTATTTCTACTTTTGTATCAGTGTAGCGCATAAAAAATAATTAGGCACTACAGTGGCGGAATCGGCGCAGCAGTTCCATCCCTGCAAGTTGTACATCTGCCGGCAAATAAGCTGCCAGTCCAAAGGCCGCGTAGTTGGGACTACAGCCTAGCGCTGTAGTATGTGAGCGGTTATGATGGGCTACATTTCCAACCACCGACAAAGTTTGGGTACATGAGCAAGTACTGCTTCAAATCTCGAATCAGTCTTTCTGCGAGGCCATTCGCTTCCGGGTGATATGGGGCAGCAAAGCGCAGCTCGATTCCCTTTGATCTTGCCCATTGCTTCAGTTTTTTGCTCCAAAACGCAGGATAATTCTATGAAGCAATCACCTTGGTGTTATTAAACATGTCTCTTCCTAGCATTGAGATGACGCTGCTCTTCTTTTCCTGCTCGGGATGCAGTGATGTGCGTACACTCATCTATGACTATAAGAAATGCTTGGGTCCTAGCCACTCCCTCACCCTTCTTTCTTAATTTGGCGAAATCCAGATAGACTATGTACTTCGAATGGGACATCCGAGTGAATTGGCAAAGCCATCTCCTTAAATTGTTGCTTCTGCTCGACTTTGTTCATCTGGCATTCGTGACATGAACGCACATGCTGGTAGATGTTTTGCTTCATTCTAGGCCAGCAGAACCAGTGAACCAGTTTACTATACATTTTCCAAAATCCATCATAGCCGCCTGATTCTGGACTATCATTGTTTAGCCTGAAAATGGAACTTACAGCCGTGACTGGAACTTGAAACTTGCCATTCCTGAAGTTTAGATCTTCGGCTCCCTTCCGCAGTCGAGTGTAGAGGACCTTCTCCGTCTCATGCCTCATCTCGGAAATCGACAGACGAGACGATGCATCTGCATCTTTCAGGTGAACTCCTGGCCGATGAAATACTTCAAACTCAAACTGTTGGGGTTCGTTTATCCACCTAGCTGTTTTTCCTTTCAGTTCAGTCATGCATAAGAGGTACGTTAAAGCTTGGTGATCTGTGAAGAGTTTGAACTTGGGGCCCTCGAGGTATGAGCGAAAGTATCGCACGTCCTTGAGAACAGCTGGGACTTCTTTTTCTGTAGTTGTGTAATTTACTTCAGGCTTAGAAAAAGTATACCAGTGATATCCTATGACGGAGAGCTGTTGAGATGTCGCTTGGTCGGATTACGCTGATAAAGAACAGCACCTGTACCATAGTGGGATGCATCTGTATTCAGCTCAAAAGGAAGGTCAACATTGGGTAAAGACAATACAGGATCAGAAGAAATCGCTTGCACCAGATACTGGAAGGATTCTTCGCATTGGTTGGACCATTCGAATGGTACATCGTGCTGGCTTAGTCGCGTAAATCGCTTTGCAAAAAAAAAAAAAAAAAAAAAGTTGAGGTTTTTACAAAATGTAGCTTTCTAAAAATACCAAATAGAGCTTTACTCGATCTGCCATTTTGTAGGATCTTCTTTTTTTGCTATCCCTGCTCTGCCTGGTTTCCTCTTTTTTTTATGCCCATCATCCAGCTGTCACATTGCAGAGTCTGCTATCGACGCTTTTTCGTCAGCACTCTCATTTTTTCATTAGTCTCCAATGAATATGAAACGACACGTGCATGAGGCACCAAATGGCAGATTGATGACTTCATGATAACCTTTCGGGGCAATGTGGAACCAACCTAGATAAATTTTGTGCTTGACTTACGTTGTGTCATGTGCGGCTTTGCGGTTGTAGCGAACAAAGAGACGGCGTTTACGCTTGTGGGGCGGTAACTTCTGGCTCGTGACCAAGCGTTTCCCAGTTCTCTGCTCTCACAAAACAGATGAGAGTTAAACAATTTTAAAAAAATGAACCCCACAAAAAAGTGTGCATTCCTTTTTTCGTTAGAGCAGATTGAATGCGAAAAATATGTGTGGACATTGGCGAGCTGTTCTGTGGTTCCCCCCGACTTATGTTCACTAGCAGACGCGTGGAAGTCCAGAGCAGCGCAGTGATCGCCAAAGACTACCCGTCTCAGCCATTTGAGATTTGCGGTGAATCCAAAAGGCGACACTGGCAGTATCGTGTGAAGTATACTGTAAAAAAGCTTGACTTAACTTTTTTTTAAAGCTTTGACTAGGTGGTGTGAGCTGCAACCCGATTAAAATGGTTCAGCTCCATTTATTTATCTATCCAGCCATGTGTAGGGTCAAAAGCTCATTGACTGTGATAGTACACCATTGCCAGTGGCTGCTGAGACTATATAGTCCGTTGCAACTCAAGAAGGTAGGGCGAGAGAAAGGAAGGCCGGGGAGGAGGAACACTGGAGAAGAGAGGGAGACATTTTTTCTTCTCTTTAGTGTTCATCTGCTTCCCACCCCCCGCCTTTTCTTTCCCTTGCCCTATCTTGCTGAGTTGCAACGGACATAGTAAGTTACAGCTCCAGAAGGTAGGGCGAAGAAAAGGAGGGCGGGGAGAAAAAAGCAGACGGAACGCCGGAGAGGAGAAAGGGAAACGTCTTCCTCTCTCCAGCGTTTTATCTGCTTCCTCCTCCCCAGCCTTTCTTTACGTTGCCCCACCTTCTTAAGTTGCAACAAACTATAGTAAACAGCTCTGCATCGACAACACCTCAAAACATAGTTATTATTAGGAGTAAAGAATGCCACAAGTGAAATCTATAGCACTGCCTTTCTGGGCATTATACCAGCGAAATGAGCTCAACAAAAATAACTGACATCCCTGGCCCCAAAAAGAAGAGTCCAATTGCTTCTCAAAGCAAGTGGGGGGAGGGTAGTACCTTCAGCAACTTCTTTTCTACATTCTGGCCCTTGGGAATGGTATCCAGGAACTTTCTCAGGTCCATGGAGAGGAACTCGAACACCAAGTAGAGCTTGCTTTCTTGTATGAGGATGTCTTGCAAGCTACCAAAGCAGCTGTCAGTTTTCGTGTTGGTTCGGAAAGATAACGGCCCGAGCCGCGAACGTCCGACAAATAAGGCACTCGTCGCCAAAATAGCAGTGCCAAAGTAACAAACTGAAACAGCAGTACCACAAATCTAGGGAGACTGAAGAAAGGGGAATAAAAAAAGAACAGCCTTCTAGACTAGAATTTCTCAAACTGCGGTCCGTGTACTATAGTTTGAGGTGATATCTGTGGAGATTGCTCGGTCGGAATTGTGGCAATCGTCAATGAAGCATCAAACACAATGGGGTCTGAGAAAAATGCAAGCAGCAGTATTGAGCAGACTGAGTCTGCCTACTTTGCATGCAAATGCAGGTGTAGTCCATTCAGATACAAGTGTACAACTCTGTGTCTTGAGCTAATGTGCAGAATGACCCCCGAGTGCAGTAGGGAGTCTGAATTTGTAAAAAGGTTAGGGAAACGCTGCTTGTTGCGTTTTTGAAGACCTTTATTCAACTGACACCCTCCAGCACCGCTCGTGCCTAGTACAACTCAGAAGTCCCATACGCACCAGGTTTTCTTTTGCCCGGCTACCGCCCCCGCGCTCGTAGTGCCCTCTGGACACCACATCTTTCCCCTCCTTTTTAAACAAACATACCCAGCTGCTAAAATCCGGCCATTAACAGTAAATAGTTTAGAAAAGTCCGTCGCCTTTTTTTTTTTTTTCACTCTTCTATTAGCCTTTGAGGCTTGCGCCGATCTCGCACGGGATACCGTCGCTCTCCGTCACTATTATCTGCATCCATGAGCGTCTCAGCATCCTGGGTGTTGCTTCTTGGCCTCGGGACTTCGGATGGTGCAGGCAAAGAGGCCTGTGGAAGGCATCTGTCGCCTGCGCTGTCTTCTGGTGTGCTGTCTGTCTAAGCCGTGGCAGACACCCCTCCCGCTTCGTCTGGACGCGACTCTGAAGGTCCGGAGCCTTGCGACGGTGCTCGGAGCAACTGGTCCTGATGCCTTCGCCATACCCGTCCCGGGGAGACTTGCACTTGGAAAGACACTGGACCAGTTTGGGCAGCGACTGTTCCTGGCTGCCACTTGTGACCACTTCGATAATCTCTGGCATAGACTTTGTCTCCTGCAGTGAAAGCCCGCTCTTGTCCTGGGTGTTGCCGCTGTTGGCGGTAGTGTGCGCTGGCCACACAGTCTGCAACTGATGGTTTCAGGAGGTCCAGTCTGGTGCGAAGATGCCGCTGTAGCATCAACTGGGCCGGAGACTCTCTTGTTGTCGGGTGCCGGGTGTTCCTGTACGACAGAAGAAAACGTGACAACCTTGTACGGAGGGGATGGCTCGAAGTTCTTTTCCGCAGATAGTTTTTCATGGTCTGAATAAACCGCTCAGCTAGTCCATTCGTAGCGGGATGGTATGGTGCAGACGTGACCTGGGCGATACCATTGTTCCTTAAGAAAGTTCGAAATTCTTCCGGCACAAACTGAGGCCCATTGTCAGAAACCATGGTTGTGGGCAGGCCAAACCGTGCGAAGCAATCTTGTACACACTGGATTATGACCTTTGACGTCGTAGGCTCCAAGACAAACACCTCTGGCCATTTGGAGTGAGCATCCACGAGCACGAGGAACATTTTACCCATGAAAGGTCCCGCCAGATTCACATGCAGTCTCTCCCATGGGTGTGTCGGCCATGCCCAAGGGTGCAGGGGAGCAGCGGACGGATTGTTTCGGTGCAGCTGACATATGGTACACCCTCCAATTTCCCTTTCAATGTCTTTATCCAGGGATGCCCACCAAACATAGCTCCTAGCCATTTCCTTAGTGCGCACGATGCCATAATGGTCCCCATGAAGTTCTTCTAGGACCGTTTTCTGCAGGGTCTTCGGAATCACCACTCGTAAACCCCACATGAGGCATCCTTGGTGGAGTGACAGCTCATTGCGGCGTACGTGGAAGGGTGCATACTCTGGATCGGTTGGCTTGCGTTCTGGGCCCCAACCATGCTTTACTCTTTCCACGATCTGACTTAGGAGGGGGTCTCTGGACGTCGCCCGTGCAATGTCTTTACATCTAAGAGGTACATTGTCGAAGTACTCACAGTAGAAGGCGAACGTTTCGTCGACGGCGTCTGTGTTGGGGTTGTCCGTTGCTTTTGGGAGTCTTGACAAGCAGTCTGCATTGGCATTTTCCTCGGAAGACCGGTGGACGATGGTGTAGCGGTATGCGGCTAGCTGACAGGCCCACCTCTGGAGCCTCGCTGCTGTCATTGTAGGGATCCCGGTCGTTGGGCCTAGGATTTTCTGTAAGGGAGCGTGGTCAGTGATCAGCGTGAAGTGATAGCCGTACAAATAGTAGTGGAATCTTTTTATTCCAAAGATGATAGCTAGGCCTTCTTTTTCTAACTGAGAATAATTCTCGTGCTCAGTCAGGGTCCTAGAAGCAAAAGCAACTGGCCGCTCTGTTCCATCTTCAAACGCATGGGACAGGACTGCCAGGGGCTCCGGAAGCGGGGAGGCAGGGTGGGCTTGAGCCCCTTCTGTCCTCAGGACCGAGCTGCCGAGCCCCCCTCCCCCTCCCTCTTTTTTTTTTTAGTTTGTGTGTTTGCAGGTTATTTGGCATGGGCCTTCGGCCTATCTGCTGTACCTCCGTCTCTCCTGAGCCGAAATAAATGAAATGACTCTTTATGTATGCTGACCTACCGCCCTCCTCACCACCGCCAAACACAAAAAGCACCGGGGTGACGAAGAGGCTTGCTTGAAAAGTCAAAACCAGAAGAAAATGACAGGCAGGACTCATGAGCCTGATTGACAACCAGTTTAAAGCGAGCAAAGAGGGGACAGCGAAATGAATGAATTCCGACAAGACGACGTCGGCGAGCGCTTGTCTGCTTCCCCCGTGTGGAAGCAAGGAGCCCAGAAGATGCATGGTGCTTCTCTGGCCCGCGGACAAAACAGGCAGGCGGTACTACCGCGGCGCTTAAAGGCCATCATTAGGAGAGGGAGGGGGGCTGGTGAGCTTGAGTGGGGATTCGGGAGTGCTTAGAAAAGGCGAAAGTCTACGAGCTCCCAAATTTGACAAGGCGCCTTCGATGGCGAAAGCTTTGCGCGCATGCGGCGTCGTGCCCGCAGGGTGGTGAGGCATGAGGCGACAGATGTTTGCAAACTCAGGACAACACAACACGAAGTCTGAAACACAGCTCTTATCCTTCAGTACCTTCCTTTTGTGATGCCCCCAACTTGCATTGACGCCAGGAGTCCGAAGCGATCACGGTCGATGTACTTGATCCTGAGGTACACACCGATGTATGCAACCTCTGCCTCCAGTTGAGACATCCGATGGCCCAACTCGCTGTGTTTGAGACTCCGTGTTGTGTTGTCTTTTTTTCCCCCGAGTCTCGGGGTTTTGTCTAAAACTTTTAACACTTGTTTGTCTACGTCTGCGTTAATACATCATGCTTCCCCGAGAATCCCTAAATGAAGGAAGGTTTTCATTTTTAGACATAGCCAATTTGGCATAGGCACAGCTGCGGTTGACATGTAACAGTTGGTATAGGAAAGAAAAAATAAAGAACACATGGCGCGGCTGATTTCAGTGGTTATCCAATCATTGTATGAGTTGTCAGTGCAAGCTTTTTACTGTTACTTTACTGAACCATTGTTTTAATTTGTTTTCCATGGATATGTGCGTGAATATGCGAACGCGGTGCATTAATATGGTTTCATTCAAATGTGACAATTAATGTCAACCTGAAACCAACCTAACCTTGAGGATTTCGGAGATGTCGAGCCCCCCCTCTAAAGAAAGACTTCCGGAGCCTCTGAGGACTGCCCCTATTCCATACGCCGATGCATCGCATGCCAGTATAATGGGTCGACGCGGGTCAAAATATGTCAGGACAGGTGCCGACGTCACCAGCTTCTTAAGTGAATCAAAGGAGTCCTGACAGTCTGTGCTCCATTCCCATGCAGCCTTCTTCTGCAGTAGACGATTCAGAGGATACACGGTAGTTGCTAAGTTCGGTAGAAATTTGCCATAGTGGTTAGCAAGCCCAAGGAATGAACGCAACTCTGCCTTGTTCTTTGGAGTGGGTGCATCTCGAAGTGCTGCTGCCTTATCCTCCATGGTTCGTAGACCATCCCGACTAATCACATGACCGAGGTAGGCAACTTCCGTTTGGAAGAATTTGCACTTTTCTTTCTGAAGACGCATTCCCTTTTCTTGTAATCGTGTTAAGACTGCTTTCAAGTTTTCAAAATGCTCACCCTGCGTTCTGCCAGTCACCAGGATGTCGTCCAGGTAGCAGGTGGTCTGCGGCAGCCCTTGAAGCACTTGATCCATAGTTCTTTGAAAAATGGAGGGTGCAGATGCTATGCCGAAGGGAAGACGGTTCACTTGGAACAGCCCCAACTGGGTGTTGATGGTGAGGTACTTCCGCGCTGCAGGATGCATCTCCAGCTGTAGGTAGGCTTTTGACAGGTCCAGCTTTGAGAAAAACTTCCCTCCTGCCAGCGTTGCAAACATCTCTTCTATCCTGGGGAGCGGATAGTTGTCGACCTCCAAGCACGGGTTGATTGTTGACTTGTAGTCGCCACAGATTCTTATGTCTCCATTCTTTTTGACGACCGGCACGATGGGCGATGCAAACTCGCTGCTGTCCACCGGGGTCAGGATCCCCGCCTCCTTCAGTGCCATCAGTTCTTTAGAGACAGCTGCCTTCAGGGCGTGGGGCACTGGTCTTGGCTTGAGGAACTTTGGAGTGTGCCCACTCTTCAGCTTGAGGTGAGCTTCAAACCCCTGAAGACGGCCCAGATCGTCTGAGAACACCTGAGCAAAGTCCTTCAAAAGCGTGTCGACTTGTTCCTTGCTCCCCTTCTCCAAGCACTGGACAGCCTTGATGCTTGTCCAGTCGAGCCTCAGCACCTCCAGCCAGTCACGTCCCAAAAGCGGGGGACCCTTGAAGTCCACGATCTGCAGCGGTAACTTGTGAACCTGGTCTTGGTACTCCACTTCAACCTGTGCCTCTCCTACCGGCTTCACCTTTTTACCGGTAAATGCTCGAAGGACGACTCCACTTCTTCCCTTCACTAGATTGGGAAACCTTGTCTTGTACAGGTCTAACGGGAGTACCGACACCGCCGCCCCGGTGTCTACTTCCATCGTCAGCGGAATCGTGTTCACCTTCACTGTTACTTGCAGAGGCCGCGGACGTGTCCCCCGAAGCTCGAACATCTCGACCTCGTCTTCCGTGTCGACGTTCAGCGTCTTGACTTTTTCCCCTTGATTCCTCCGGCCTCGTGTCGGTGCTCCGCGATGCTGAGAAGCTGCTGGCCCGGACTGCTGGCTCCTGCACACTCGTTCAAGGTGTCCGCGTCTTCCGCACCTACGACAGTCTAAGCCTTTCCACCTGCAGTTAATTGCTGTGTGATTCGTAAGTCCGCAGTGCTTGCATTCGGACTTGTCCTGGTCCACCTTGAGCACCTCGGCGTCCGCGCTCCGGCAATGTAAAACTTGTGCGTTCGCGGAGGCGGCTTCCATCGCCACTGCGATTTCTAGCGCCTTCTTAAACGTCAGGCCAGCTTCCGACAACAGTCGCTTTTGAATGGAGTCGCTGATAATGCCGCATACCATGCGGTCACGTAAGGCTTCGTTCAAAGTGCCGCCGAATTCACATGTCTGCGCCAACTTTTTCAGCTCGGCTACGAACTCGAGGATACTTTCATTCTCGTTTTGGTTTCTTTTGTGAAAACGGAAGCGTTCCGCGATGACAAGAGGCTTCGGCGACAGGTGCTCTCGCAATATGGCTACCAGCTCGATGTACGACTTGCTAGGCGGGGTGTCCGGCGCCACCAAACTCTTTAGCAGAGCGTACGTCTTCGCGCCAATGAGGCTTAGGAACGCTGCCACTTGCCTTTCTGGTTTGACGTCGTTTGCGACGAAAAACTGGTCGAGTCGCTCGATGTAGGTTGGCCAGTCCGTGCCCGCTTCGTCGAACGGTTCAATTCGACCGAGGGTCGCCATGGCGTCGCGGCGTCACCGGGGAGTAGTGCGGCGGGCGACTCTTCGACGGGTCTCGCGTGGCTGGACGCTCGTCGCCAGTTGTTGCGTTTTTGAAGACCTTTATTCAACTGACACCCTCCAGCACCGCTCGTGCCGAGTACAACTCAGAAGTCCCATACGCACCAGGTTTTCTTTTGCCCGGCTACCGCCCCCGCGCTCGTAGTGCCCTCTGGACACCACACTGCTCAAGACAAGTTTTTATCTCGTAGACCAACAAGGAAGGAAACACGTAATTTCCAGTTCATTATTAACCCCTTAACCATTTTGGACAAGCCTAGCTCATCAACATAAAGACATCCCCTAACCGTTCGGGACGAGCATAGCTCATCTGCTTTCGCCGATTCAAGCACTTCGTTTTAAACGATCTAGGCTCGCTCAGGGTTTCGATCGCGGTTCTGGTAACAAAAAAAAAAAAAAGGCTCGAGGTACACTTAAGCACTTCTTACGAGTTGTGAATGCGAAAGCGCGAAAGCATGCACGCCGCTCTTCCTCTCCCTTCTGTCGTCTGCGACGTACTTCCATCAACAGTCGAGCGCGCGCGCCGACCTTGGTCGTGGAGTGGTGCAGCCGCTGCCTCGCGGGCACACAGCGCCATGGGGTGGCGGTCGTTGAAACTGACAAGCAGCGGCCAATGGGAGCCTTGTCGACGCACGCCAGCCAATGTAACTGAAGCCCATGAGCTTTACTCCGCTCCTTTGGGATCGGGGAAACTAAGTGCTGTTTGGCTAGGCTATTCGCATGGTTTCATAGCTGGGAGCTGGCTTCACTTGGAGGAAGGATTCAAGGCGCCGTTTGGCGCGGCTTCAAAGCTGATGACGTCGGCTCGCTCCAAAGGACCAGCTAATGCTTTCGCATTAAAAACAAAAAAAAAAAAAAAAAAAATCATTTTTTTTTATATTTTTTTTTTTGCGATTATACGTTTGGTTTTAAAGGCAAGAAATCTGATTTTGAAGACAAGCAGTTGAGGGTCAGAAATTTCGAAAAACTAGAAACGGTTAAGGGGCTAATGCAAAACCTTCACATAGGAAAATCGACTAAGGCAAATACTGAGGTAAGGTCAGTTACCTGGCAATATTTTGGTGTTTGAGTTCCCTGAGAAGTGCGATCTCGCAGATGGCGGTGTACGGAACACCGTCGTCCTCGTTCTCGAGCCGAATCTTCTTGAGGGCCACGATATGTCCGCTCTTCTTGTTCTTGGCCTGGTAAACGACGCCATACGTACCCGCAACAGTAAACCTAAATAAAAACAAAAGAAGAAGAAAGAAAAAAGGAAAGCCTCGCGCACGACAAAATTAAGAATGAACAGACCTTCGCCGATTTTTTCACTTTTGTGTAGTCGTCCATTCCCATTGCGGCGCTGAAAACAAACCACGAAAAAAAAAAATAAAACAGTTTAAATTTAAAGAAGAACAAAAGATGCGTAGGATAGCCAAAACAATGCCTAGATGGAGGCGAGCGTACACAAGACATCTCCCCAAAATTCGTGAAGCTCGCTGCTCTTCTAACCAGGGGCGGATTCCAAAAGGGAGGGGGGGGGGGGGGGGGGGGGCCCGGGGGCGGCCGCCCCCCCCCCCCTCACCCCCCCTAAACAAAGTCGATTCTCCCCCCCCCCCCCCCCTCCCCCCTTCTCGGAGGGCAATTCGACATGGGTGGACCCTCCGGTGCACACGAAAGAATGGGAAAATAGTGTCCTTACAAATCCCCCCCATAAATATACACCGAAAAAAAAACACAACGTAAATTGAATTGTAAAATATTCACCGAAAAAAAGTACGCTGAATTTTGAAAAAATAAAAAAACCGAAAACGCGGAACCCTAGTTATAAGGTATGTTTGGGCATATTTGGTTGACGAGTATCTTGTTTTTAAACAGCGCGACAAGACAATGACAAAGTAAGGGCGAGACAGACGACAGCGCTATCAACTGAAGGTTTAGTTCCACCGCTCCTGTCTGATAAAAAAGAAAAAAAGAAATGTTTCCTTACTGGTGCACGTTATGGACCGACTATGATACAGCATGCAGTGTATAATGTAACTAATAAGGTGCTGAGACTGCATGTATTTTTGCCTTTTCTTTCGCTCTCTGTTTATTTGGCTGTTGTCCGCGGTGGAAATAATCCTTCAGTTGATATTCAGCACTGTCGTATGTCTCGTCTTCACTTTCTCCTTTTCTTGTCGCGCTGTTTTAAACCAAGATGCCAAGGAAGCTTTGATCACACCGCTAGCCCGACAAGACGCGTTTAAAGAGTTGCGCCTTTTTCCTGCGGTGCTGCGCGTTGGTGTAACCCCGCTAAATTTAGCGGGAAAATTGACGTCACCCGACCTCAACACCGATTCAATTCCCCGCTAAATTTAGAGGGGAAAATGACGTCACATGACTTAGTGTCACGTCCCCTATCAAAAAATTCAGTTTGATGATAATGCAATTAAAGGCAAAAGTGCAAGCGAGCGAATTTTTTTGGTCGCGCACCAGTCACCTAGCTGTGTTTGGAGATTTGTGTTAGTCCTTTGTCCCTCTTGTTCCCCTTCTCCAGGGTTTATTTTTTCAAATTCAGTTTCTTCGCTAGATTTAGCGGGGAAATTGAGGTCACGTGACTTCAACAGCAATTCGATTTTTCACTAAATTCAGCGGGAAAATTGACGTCACGGGACCTCAACACAAATTCAGTTTCTCCGCTAAATTTAGCGGGGAAAATGACGTCTCATGACTTGGTGTCACGTCACCTGTGAACAAATTCAGTTTCTTCGCTAGATTTAGCGGGAAAATTGACATCACGTGCGGAGGAGGAGAAGGGGACGGTATGGAGGAGGAGGGAGAAAGGAGGAGAGTGAGGAGGAGGGACTAGATGTAGGATGAGTAGGAGGGGAGAGGAAGAGGAGGAAGAAAGGAGGTGGGGAGAGGAGGAGTGGGGGACGAGGACGGGATGGGAGAGGAGTGGGAGGGATTGAGGGGAGTACGAGGGGGTGACGAGGAAACGGTACGGAGAAGGAGGAGGATGGGCATACCCTCCCCTCCCCCTCCTCCTCAAGAGCTGCGCTCTAATTTCGCGTTACAGAGATTTGTAAACGTCTCTAAACTTTTGATCTCGAGAAAGCATAGGATACTGCTTGGCGGTAAGGAATTTTGAGTTACTTGATTGACATTGATATGCAGGGCCGCAAGTACCATGCCACTTGGAGCTATTTAGGTAGACGCACTTTCCGGGTAAGGCTGGGGTCTGCACACTCACGATGGTTTGTAGAGGAAAACGGTGTTCCGCAGGGTGGCGTCCTAAGTGTTACCCAGTTTACTATAAAAACCAATTCAATTGCGCTTGCCATCCCGCCATCACTTCACTATTTGTTATTCGTAGATGACCTCCAGATCGCTATTTCCTCATGTAACTACTCAGTCTGCAAGCGCCGTGTTCAACTATTAATAATGTGACAAGATGGGCTGGCAATAACGGTTTTAAGTTCTCCACCGAGAAAACTGCTTGTGTTTGTTTCTCACGAAAACACTTGACGTGTTACCAATGCCTTCGGTAATTGTATGCAACGCACCAGTTCAGATAAAAACGGAGTATAAGTTTTTAGAGCTTATATTTGACTACGAACTCTCTTTCAGTCACCATATCAAAACGTTACAACTTTTTTTTTTTTGCAGCCAGTCACACTTACACTAGCTATTTTAATAAGTTGTAAAACTCGGCTATCAAGCCGCTCGTGAAATTTGGTAGCGTCGGGTCAACGTAAGTGCGCTGTACGTCCAACTGAAGTTTTGGGGTGTCGTATATGTGACAAGGGGTGTAAGAATGTGGCTTTTTTCTAGTGTGCACTTTTACTCAGCACACATGCCTCTTCATTTTGCTGTTCTGCTTGGAGATAAACCTTTCATAGATCATACATATGTTTTATATTTCTAAAAAGCATTGGAATTTTTCGCCGACTCTAAACTACCATTGCAACTTTTAACTTTTAGAGCGCAGCTCTTAGGCGCTGGTTTCCGGCTTGAGCGGCGTTACCGTCGCCGTCAGCGTAACTGCGCGTTGCATTATGGGACGTCTGCCATAATGACGTCACACGTGACGTCACGAGGTCACTCGTGAAGGTCACGACGAAGGTCACGACCTTCACGAGGGTCACAAGGGGAAAGGAGGGATATAGATAAGGAGTGGAGGAGAATAAGAGGAGGAGGAGGGAGGACGACGAAGAGGAGGAAGGCAGGAGGAGGAGGAGGGGCGTATTCTCCTCTCTGTACCCTCCCCTCTTCCTCTTCAAGAGCTGTGCTCTAATTCGGCATTACAGGGAATTGTAAGTGTCTTTCATTTTTTTCATCTACATTAATTATATACAGATTCATGTCCATCCTTTTATCCTGTTACTGGCCAGTAGAGCCCTCTTCTCTAAAAAAACGTTTCTTGAACTAGTTGCAGATTTTGGCGCTCTAAAGCCTTAGACGCTTTTGTGCCAACAAAATCGAATAAATCAATTAACAAATCAATTGTATGCTAATCAAAATGAAGTTTGGTATTTTTCTTACACTGCGCCCTTGGTTGCTTGTAAGAACTGTTAAGGGGGCACACCCCCTAGGGGGTCAACTTTTGAACCCTTGTCTTAAAATTAATGAAATTTACAGGGTAGGCTGGTGGTCATGCTAGAGGGTGTATAACAAAATTTCAGGTCTGTCGGTTAAATGAGAAGGAAATAAGAGTAGCTTCTATCAGCAACACGCCTACATTGTTTAGTTAATCTATCGTCAGAAAACTATTGCGATATTAAAGATTTTTATTTGCTAGATATGTAGCAGAATGCCTAGAGGGTGCGGCTATGGAACATTTTTTTTATAAAGTAATTCATTTCTATAAATTTTCTCTTCTGCAAAATTGATCAACGTTTTGGTCTTCTGTGCCTTCGACAAAATGTCAACATTTTTTACAAAAGACATCCGTAACGTGACAAAAAAGTTCCATAGCCGCACTCCTTATTAAATTTTAGATAGGAAAAGGGAAGAATGAGCTTTCCCTGTCTTGCCATTATCAAACGATAGATTGACTAAAATGGAATTTATACCAAAAAGTGGAACGGAGAAAAATGTGTTCAAAGTGCTCCAAACCCTACCTTTTCTATAGCTTTGGTGGACAGAAAATAATTTATAAAAAATTAACTATACAGTGAAAATTAATGAAACTTTTGGGGAATACTCTCTAGATGTTGGTGGATGTAAAGATGTCATTTTTCAAAATCAACGTTTTTTGCAGAATTTTTTTTTTCTGGGCAGTGTCTCCCCTTAAGGAGGCTGCACCAACCAACATGGGTACAGCAGTATATTTGCAAATGGCACCTTTTTTTTTATTAGAATATATTCAAATTCCATAGCACAATAACAACAGCAAAGTTATCACACAGCTAGGAAGTGCCAACAACACAGGTCTGGACAACCCGGTACGAGAAATCGGACGACGTCATAGTTCTGTGTGCCGATTCGCCACGGGCAGGCGAGTAGGCTTAACGAAGACGCCTTCGGCCGTCTTCCAAGTGCACGCGTCGTCTCTCGGTGCAAAGTCGCCACAGACCTCAAGTTGCCCGCCCAACTGAGACCCATACGACTGTCCAGACACGCTGAGCCAAGCCTCAGTGTCGGAGTGCTTGAGCCTAACTTCAACACCACGCTCCCAGTACAACGTCTTGCAGACGACAGTCCACAGGTCGCCGGAGTTGCCGTTGCCGTTTTCTCCGAAGGCGCTGATCTCTTGCTTGGACGTCAACGGTGACGCGTAGTGGTGACTGTGTAGGTTCCGTCTCGTCTGGAGGTGCTCGAGTCGTACTACATCGCCGCATTTGATGCGTTGGCCGCGTGGACAGCTCGCGTCGGTCCTTCCCTTGACCATCCAATGACTGTTGATGTCGTCTGGTTTCTCGGTTCCGGTGACAGACTGCTGCCCGCTGCCTTCAGAGTAGCTGACCTTATGCGAGTGCAGCCTCACCTCGTACCGGAGATTGAGCAGCTTCGTGAGCGATCCGCAGGTGACGTAGCGGTAGTAAAGCAGTTGAAACTCGTCGTCTGCGGTTACAGCGAGCAGGCTGCACGAAACGACTATGAACAGCAGATGAACGAACGCGTTCTTCGTCGCCATCTTGTCAATATAGGCGTCCTCGGCTGGATCGCGTTGGGTTGGCGATGGATACCTCGCGCCCTCGCGATACCGAGCGCGAGCGGGATGTTCTGAAGAGCACTTCGGGGTGTGTTTAGTTTGTTTAGTGGAGCGTAGTTTCAACACATATTTACGCATCAGTTGCGTCCACAACACGGTGGTCGAGAGCAACCAGAACAACAGCAACGACCGGAACACCGTGACAACTGCGACTGATTGTTTCACGAAGTCACTTTTTGCATCGCCTGACGGCGAACACTTCTCCCGTTGCCTTTGTCGTTGCTATTGTTTCTGTCGCTCTGAACACAAGCAAAGGAACTGCCCGAACCAGGCTTGATCCGCAAGTATTCAATGAGCGAAGTCAAGGCATGCAATTATTATTCTGTTGATATTTAAACGCGCTAGCATTCATTGCCCTTTTGCGAGCAGCCATCTTTCGTTTTGACCGTCGTGGTTTGGACTGGACTGATTTCGTGAGATTTCGCGAGCAGCCATCTTTCGCTCCGTTAGTTCGCTCGTTACGCCCGCTTTTCCCCTTACAAGAGGGAAAGAGTCTTCTGTCACGCTTCGAACACATACTTTACCCCTGGTTAAGTATCTGCTTCCAGTGATGCATCCAGGGAGCGGGAGAAAAGCGTACCGAGCGCCCGTGGCACAACGTACGCGGCAACGTAGAACCGACACGCAGCGACGACAGCGTTTGAGCGAGACCGCCGACACCCGGGAGGAAAGCTGTGGCGGATGCATCCGAAACCACCGACGTCCCGGGGAACAGGCTGACTCATCGAACACAATAGTATGCGCAACCTTTACGAGGTTAGAATTCCCGTCCTTCGCCGAGTCGGAACCCTTGCGCTAAATGCTAACGCATTTCGTCGAGAATCAGAGTAGCGACCGCAGCAATTTCGTCATATTTTTTTCGGGTATTCATTTGGCATGGGCTTGGTTTTGGGCTAATTTCAAGTTTTTTTTTTTTTTTTCTTTGTGTCTAGACCGTTTTTGAAATACTGCCCTCTGTTGACAGCTGTGGAATCCATGCACGGCACAATTTATACGTTCAGTTAGAGTGGGAAAAAAAAAAAAAAAAAAACACGCACTGAAAAAGTGATGAGCGCAATGACTTCGCACTTTCGACGCTGCTTGATTGGCTCGTCGGCTCGTAGCGTCAGCCCCGGTCCGACGTTCGCTATGTTATGGAATGACTTGCACTTCCACGATGTCAGTTGTTCCGCCATTGCGACCTTCTAATAATCGGCACGCGAATTTCAAAACGGGGCTGTAACGTCAGTGCAAAATCTTCGGTTCTCAGAAATGTGCCTCAGTACTATCACGCTTTAGTTTCTTTTTGCCGAAAATACCTCGCCGGCACTCCATTTAATTTAATTATGAAGATGCAAAGCGAATGTGTTGGTTTGGTTGAGCCTTATCGTCGGCGTCCATTGTGACAGCAATTTTGTATTTTTTTTTCGTATTGACATTGGGTTTATTTGTGATAAACGCCAAGGCCTCATGCAACCGAAAGGAGTTTGCGCTGTGACGGTGTTGTTTCAGCAGTTTTTCAGAGCGCATGCGTCGTCTTCTGATGTTGCGATTAGTGGTTCTAGTCTTGACCTATATATAATCGCCCCTGATGTTCGGTAAGCGCATTGTGTCAGTCGGCATTGAATCAAGCAGTTCGGTCGACGAAACCCTCGGACAACATGAACTCTCGGTACTTCATCTTCGCGGTCGTCTGCTTGAGCCTCACGAATAGGACCTATGCAATCCCAGGTAAGTTTCTATCTTATGACTTTTTCTTTGTTAGCGCTTTGTCAGGTTATCGAGCACTTTACGGCTGAATATCAGAGCCGTGTATGTTGTATATTACCAAGCGCGACAATTGGGTATTAAAGGGAAGCTACGGAGCTTCTTGGAAAACTCTTCCTGGGGCATCAAAGCTTTGCATGACTGACAACACTGATTTTCAATACCTGGGTGACTTAGCTGTCACTGCTTTAGACCCTAGCTTATTTGGTGCCTCTATGCGGAGCCCAAGGAGCGAGCGCACTTGCTCCGTATACCTTGCGTATTGCCCGGAATATCCTTCATCGTATACGTGATATCTACCCGTGGAATGGATGCGAATGCAAACTCTAACGTGATGGGCCGTTCGTGCTGAACACTCGGCTTTCTCTGCAGGCATCTGCATTCCGGTGGACTACTGCGACCTGACCTGCGTCACTGGTTCTGACACTGCCGGCTGCGACATCTGCATCTGCCCGCCCTGCCTGCCTTGCCCGACCCAGTGCTACGAACCTGCCCCGGGGTGCCCTGTGTGCGCCCCGCTGCGAGAATGCTTCCAGTGGCCGTTGTCGTTCTGGTTCTAGACGCCCTCTGCACCCTGCTAGCTTCACTATTTCTTGTATGGGTGTGCCACTGTCGACATGTCTTTTAGCCTAGCATGTGTACCCTTTTGTACATATGCTTAGGACGTACGGTGTTTTTCGCCGACAATAAAGTCTCCCAGCCCGTACTGGCATCTTTGTGTACATTTTTTTTCAAAGGCTTGCATTCCTTTTTTTTTTTTTTTTTTTTTTGCGGTTGAGCAGTCTGCAGTGCGAAAGATGGGCGTAACGATGGAATTGTCACATGCGGTGCTACGTTCTTGCAAACGTTGGGAGCTTTGCTAGGTGCGCACAACCCGCCGCCTAATTTAAGGCCTGTTCACACATGCAGCGGAGCGCTCCAAGCATAGCGCTGACCTCGCGCTAAGCGCGTGCTGACGGGAGCGTTCACCAGCTTTGTATCGCACCGTCAAAACTGTTGCTCAAGGCAGACGATAAATAGCTGACGACACGTGAGCAGCGCTACATGAGCGCTTCGCTGCATGTGTGAACCGGCCTTTAAAAGGTTCAACTGTGTCGACGCATCTATCGTGGCGAGAGTGCTTAGGCCATTTCCGGCTTTCAATCTCGAGGATGCTTAGGCAGGCGGCCATTATCTACGATTTTTGCCAGTTCGGCGCCTTAAAATCGACAAAGTGGCGGTGAAGTCCGGGTCTCTGAGCAGAGACAAGCCCTGCCGGCCACTGGGAGCACATGTTTCAGACTGCGGCGTGCGTTGACTGTCGTTTCGGGGGGAGCGAAATGCGCTAACGCAGCGCGCCGAAATCGGCGTAGACTGACTGAGCGCGTTCTTTTCCCTCGAAACGAAATTGCCCAACGCACGGACGGCGCCCTCGCCAGCCGCCACCTATGTCCACGCGCCCCGAGTAAGTCGCTTATGCTGAAGGCCGTGCTTGCACTGCTGCAGCACTCCGCACTCGTGCTAGTTAATCTACTGTAGTAGAGTAGACAGTTGGGTGAGTTGGTAGATATTGTCCTTGTCCTTGGGTGCGCAACTGTAACTACGTTCAATAGTGAATCTAAGTTTTAAGGCGCAGTCATGGCGGCTTGATTGCCGCGCTGCGTTTCGTTACTGTTTCACAACCCTTGAGCAAACACTGGAACAGCAATGAACACAAAAACTCCGAAATACTGTCTAGCGCTAGCCGAAATGGGTGTCGTATCGGGTGTCCCCGACGTACCATGTGAAGCCGACTGCCACTATAGGACAAGCTGCAGTAATTAGTATTGTGCGTCGCTGGACCGTCTCATATTGGTGCAACCTGCATCATCACGCCAAATTTTTTTTTACTAAGTAGTGATGGTCGCGATCTGTAGGCTCAAGTTACTTGACCTTCTGCGTCAATGAAAACGTGAAGAATGAGCGTGCATCGCCTTTACATAGTGCCACGGCTCCGAGCTTTCTACCAGCTAGCCCTTGTAAAGTATTTGCTTCCAGTCTCGACGCTCCCACCCACTCAGTGGGAGGGAATCTGGCGCAGTGTCAGAACACGAATGACACCTCTCTGACTGAATAGCGAGACCGCTTTCTAACTGTGCGCATAGATTACACCTAACCGCCGCCATGTCTGCTCGTGTGGCAAGGTCATGCAGTAGCGAGCTTGCCGAAAGTATCTTGCGCAATCCATAAATCGTTGACGTTACTCCGCGGAGGATGGCATTTTTTCGGCGTCCAATTATCACGTGATCACAGCTCCTGATAGAGGTCACCTTCAGAGGGAGTTCGGCATCACGTTCATCTGGTGGACTAGTTGGTTGATCATTATGTGTAATTAACAGCGCAAATACAAGAAGGAAGGATGTTCCTGTTTCTCTTTTTCATTAAACGTCAGTTGTTAGTGAGCGCTCTATTCTGTCTCCCTTGTCTATCCTTTCTTCTCGTATTTGCGCTGTTAATTCCACATAAGGAAGTTCGGCTTTGATCACTTCCAAAGTCCCCAGAAACGGGCGCACTGGGCCGTGCATTGGATTCTGGTTTCTGCGTGCGTACACGCGCGCTGCTCACGTTTGGTAAACAACGCCTTTGGCGGAAGCCGCAGTTTTGTTTCCCCGCACAGCGTGCCTGCCGCACTGCAAAGCGCACTTCGCGTACGGATCGCAGCGAAGACGCTGTGGGGCATCTTTCGCGTTCCCGGTGTAAGGAGTCCCATGTGTGTGTAAGCCTTCTAACGGTTTGGGACCTTAAATGTAACTCTACTGAAATACAGAGCTTCGGTACAACCGCGTCATTCGGTCCAATGATATAACTGATCCGGGTGCTGAAAAATGGGGCCGAGTCGACTCGGCGAGCTGCGGCCAATCGAACGAAGTCGCCCACAGCGACACTTCTAATGTCTCGTTTTCGTCGTCGTCCTATTCCGCCCGATCATCGAAAGTGATCCCCAAATGGCAACATAAATGACGTCAGGAAAGGGCGGAGCGTCGTGCTGTCGCCGCTATAATAAGCCAAATCAATCGATCGCGGTAACTTTGAGCTTTTACGTAGAATTCGTCCTCCGTATTGTATGTATTCCTGCCTTTGACTGTAAGCTCCGACCAACGTTACTGGAGGAAGTTCAGTTTCGCAGCTCCCTATTCTCGCCTGCGGAGGCGAGTGGCCCAGGTGGTGGTCACGAGAACTGGCGGCGTTGCAGTCGGATCTTACTTCCCTGTCTCGCGCGCCCGAGGTGTGGCAACATCATCGTGTTCCTCGGTCCTCAGGTAGAGTGTAGTATAGAAAGGACGAGTGGAGGCACCGGAGTGCTATTTTAACACCTCGGTATGTGCAAAAAAAAAACAAAAACAAAAAAAAACATAAACGGCTAATTTAAGCCACTTTGCTCGTAGCGCCCTCGGGCGCTGCGAGCGAAGTGGTTCAGATAAAAAAAAACGCATTTCGTTCCAACGCCAAGCTCGACCGGCACACTGGGGTGCTATGTTGCGCTTTTTGGACTCCCAGGAGACTTGGAAGAGGGAAGTGACGTCAACGACTAGAGCAAACGCAGATTGGATGTTGACAGAAGAAAACGAAATCAACACCCAATCTGCGCTTGCTGTGTCGTTGACGTCACTTCCCTCTCCCTAGTCTCCTGGGAGTCCAAAAAGCGCAACATAGCCCCCCTGGTCAAGGTCATAGAAATGACAGAACGCCGGATTATATTTTTTAAGCAACATAGACGTCAGGCGTCACGTACATAAAGTCACCGCGACCTGACTTGTCGTCACAACGCCATGCGGCATCAGGACGTCAACGTCGTCATCGACGACCACATCTACGTCGTCCTCGATGTGGCGCGCGACGTCACGACCGCGTTACAACTGCGACTTGATGTCGCATAACGGCGTTATCCTCAACGCGACGTCACGACCGCGTTACAACGGCGACTTGATGTCGCCAAACGGCGTCGTCCTCGACGCGACGCGATGTCATGACGGCCTTATGACAGCATCTTGGCGTCGCGTAACGTCGTCGACAATGACGTCGTGGCGTCGTCGTATTGTGGTGCTTAGACGTTACCTCTGATGTCAAAATCATAAAAAATACATTATGTTTTTGACCTGTGTTGTTGCTTGATCGCAACGAAGGTGGCGCTGAGATCAAAGTGGCTTGGGTCCACCCGATCGCTTTCCACATTTTGAGGTGCAACTGAAAGCATGAGTGGAGCCTATAGCTCGTCCCACTCGTACTTTCTAGTACACTCTACCTCGGGTAATCTAACTCTTTTTTGGGATAAGGATATCGACGGGGTACTGGGTACTATTACCTAGTAAAAACTTCTAAGTCGGATCCGCTGTAGCCGGAATTTTTCCCATCTTTTTTCTTTTCTTCCTTTTTCTTTTTCAGTCTCCTTCGCCTTTCTTTTCTTGTACCTTTTCATTTTCTTTACCAGTTTCCTTTTCTTCTTTTGTTATTTTCATGTGTATCATAGAGAAAAAAAAAAAAAAAAAGATGACGAAGATGAAGTGTATTACGCCTCAGAGTTGAGTCAGCGCAGTGTGATTGTTCTTTGAGTGTTTGAAATTTATTTTGTGTGTCGGTTTCCTTGCGCTGTGAAGTGTCAGTATGAATCACGAACTCGCCCAAGCTCAAGCAACGCTATTGAAACCTGGCGGGCGGGCTAGGCAATTCGGAAGTAAGACTCGACTGCAGCGCTGCTAGTTTTCGTGACCGCCACTGAGCCCACGTCGCAGGCGAAGCTGTGAAACTGAGCTTGCGGCTCCGACTTACAATGATATGGAGAATAGCGCCGTCTGTCGGAGCAATACCGCCCAGAAGACGAAGCCATGCGCCATGGTCTGGGGACGCCCGACCCGCCCCTAGCGGCCAACACGCTGAAACTCGACGGGAGACGCCGCCAAGCGGCAAACGCACGCTACTTGCGCTCTCGTTGTGAGACCAGTGTCGGCTTCGCGTACACGTATCCAAATGATTGTCGCCTCTTTTGTACGGCCGAGGGCGCTCGCGCTTGTTCCCGAACAAACCGACCCGCCGTGTGCCAACACCACTCGTCGTCCAAAAAAATAAAAGAGCGCGTATTTGAACTTTGCACATACGACGCACACAACACGAATCATTTTCTTGTTTCTCCCCAGGCAGCGCCGTGCTGTACTACCACCCTCGCCCTACTCAAAGTGAGCAAGGGGGAGAGAGAGAGGTGGCGGGTAACAGCTTCATACGTGTCCTCTCACGCCGAGGGGGGCGTTCCCGGCGGGCCCAGCACACGTTCCCCTGCCAGAGGTGCATAACCGATGGATCCCTTGCCCCCCCTCTTGCGGGGTGGGGTCACCACTTTTGGGAGGAAGCCGCCCCTGTAATCGGTTCGCACCCCACCCTCCCCCTCTACCTGCCCTTCCCGACCGCTCCGCAAATTAATGGCTCTCTCTCTCTCTCAACCTGCGATCGCTTCTTCGTCCTCCACTCTTCCTCTTCTCTCTCTCCCGAACGTGCAGTAACTTGTTTCTGCCTGGAAGGGAGACGGACCACACACGTGCTGCATCGACAGGGTGGCGGCAAGAGCAACAACGAAAAAAAGAAAGGTTGGAGGGAGGCTAGAGATATAATAATAAAAGAGGACTGATGAGGTTTTATTTTGTTTTTGGGGGGCCCGTTCTACGGCAGCCTCTGTCCCCCTCTCCCTCTGACCACCGGGTGGTAAGGTAGCTCTGTTCGTAAATTTACGGATTTTGGCGGCCACCCCTTGTTTAGGCGCCATTCATTCGGTTTAGGCACAATGTACGGCTTTTTGAGGGGGGGGGGGGGGGGGGGGGTGAGCCCATAGGCTAATGTCGTTGTACGTCGTCGCTGTCTGTTCGGCTGGTGCTTTTGCGGATTCCTAGCTAATGATGGTCTCAGGGGCGACGCCGTTCATTATTCGTGCCGCTAAAATGCTTCGGTGTCAAAAAAGAAAAGTGCCTTTGGTGTCTCAATTTCACACCGCACAGTCACTCTTCTTTTTTTTTTAATCAAGCAGTATTTGGCTTGCATGTGACGTCATCGATTCCTGCTGGTGGTCTTTCGCACTTGTCCTTGCCCAGAAGGACAAATCTGACATTGAGGAATGTACCCTGCAGGAGATACACGCTCGGCAGCGGACCACCACAACCGTCGCCCATGTGCCGTCGGTGCATGCCGCGTTTGATACGTAGCAGTGTCGTTGGCGTTACCGAAAAAAAGAACAACAACTAACGAAATACATTACTCGTTGCTCTCAAAATAAAGGAACGTGTTACCGTTACCAATAAAAAGTAACGTTACTTTATATGATAAAGGTAACGGGTTACCGGTAATGCACTATTTTGTTATCCTTTCGTACCACAGGTGTCGCCACCCACTCCCGTATCGTCATGCATGCACCCATGTCGACTGACAAAATAAAAATAAAAGCACCCTTATGCAACGCGAAATTCGCTTATACTATGGCACTTGGGCTTTCGCTTAAAATGATGCTGTGTCATGTTTCCATCTTTAGTGATTCCGTAACAGACTTTTTTTCACAACTTCATCAAACAACACCGGCGGTCGCCATTTCTTGGGCTAGGTGGCGCAAGCTACCGCCCGATATGAAGGGTACAGCCGTTAGCATGCATCCATCCATCCATTGGGAACGAAGCGTCTGATTGGACGCGGGTCGTCGCGAACACTGACGCAGCCCTCGTGTCCAATACGTGCTCAGAGTATACGTGCCCAAGCAATGGCTTACTCGGAGACCTGACGCGGAAGCTACCAAATGGCGTAAAATCCAGTAATTTACGAAATAAAAGTTTCCAAATGTACACGCACGGAAGAAAAGGAATACTACAAAGGCGTAAGTGTTTTCTGCATGGTACTTTTCAAAATCAGGGTTCATCCGCATTAGGATTTTAAAATTGCTAGGCTCACCTATCGCTGACACTCTATACAGCAGGACATAAGCGTCTCTTATTTATAAGCCACTAACTATACTATAAACACACGTGCTTGAGTGTTATCTTGAATTGGTCATCATTGCTTTTAACGTGACTTCAAGAGTTGCGAGACACTGTTTGAAACATTTATAAATATTTTGCATAAAAATTGGGAGTAGTTCATCATTGCTAGCTAAAGGTAATAACAATCCTTTTTGTTTTGGCGCTTTAAGCAGCGACGACAACAAACCAGAAAAGACACGAATGAACACTGTGGAAGAACTACCACCACAATGCCGAACGCCGCGATAGAGCGGACTCTGGTCCGGTTGCAGCAGTATTATTTAATCCTAGTAAAACAATAACGCAAAGCGGACTCTTGGATTCTTGTGCAAAAAACTACCGCGCTACGTCTCAGACACCAACATCTGACTACTACGACTTAAATGCCATTAGATTGGAAAGAACGTAACACTCACGCGCACATGCAAAGCACGACACATACCGTCCTTCCTCGTTTTTTTCACTCCTACCACAAACGTAACACAGCGTGTTCTTGTAACGAACAGCATTCAGAATCTGTCCACATTGAATGCAACACAAAAAGTTCAGAGGAAGAAAACAACAAACAAACATAGTTCATCTAATAAAGCACAGCGATATGTGTCTCACGTCTATTGATGGCGGATTGCTAGAAGACTTCAGCAGGGCGGCAGCACACTCGGACGCTTGGTCATATGACTTCCAAAAGACTCTTAAACTGAGCATCGACATTTTGTTTGTTTGTTATGAGTCGTAACTAATGGCTCGGAAAGCTCTACTCCACAATGAACCGAACTGTTCATTCATTGAAAAGTATCCTTGGCAACTTTATTACTCATGATTGAACTTTACGTTACTTATAAGGGTTTAAAGAGTACTATAGACTGTATGAATACGTGCTTACACTCCTACGTCTAAAATTATGTTTATCCGACGAGGTGTTGATGTTTATTGTAATCTAGACAAATATTGTCTATTACTACAATGCTCTTTCTCGAAGGAGCATCGTTTTTAGCTACATGTAAAAAGATTTTAAAATATACCTTCGAGATACTACTAGCAACACACATTTTGGGCTGAGAAATTGTTAACAGACAGCAAATAAGGTTTTGCACTTTCGACGGAGCCTTTCGTGAATGGTTTCTCGCCCGTTACTACCAAACAGTCCCTCGCCCGTTACTGAAGCTGTTGCCAATAGGGTTTCCTTTCAAGCAAATAATTTAAGAACGATGTTACTCGTCAACATTTTGCATCGAAGTGTGGTCACATATACTTGCAGCCAAATGAGTGTGGAATATAGTGTGCAGGTCACGTACGCTCATAAGGAAGCCAGGGCGCTCAGAAAATGAACTATGTATCAGCTGACTTTTGTGTATGGACACGCACAGTCCTTTGCAGTGTCTTCGAAGAAAATAGACCTGCTCTCCATTAGACTTCTCCTAGTACATGTTCAAAAGCGACGTTGAGCCGAGCAAAAGTGTCACGTATTCCACCCTACCACACACACACACACACACACACATACACGCACGCACAAGTGTACAGCATCATTCCTCTACTTCCATAGAGCGCGCACAATATCACAGACCTAGTCGAAGAGGAGGGTCCACGGAACGAACGGCACACTCTATAAACACGTGGTCTCCTGTAGAGTCTCGAAGCATGTCTGACACGTCACGTTGCAGCAGTACTGGAACGTGCAGTTGCACGCCACGCTCACCACCATCTGCCGACTGCGAACCTTCCGGCCGCAGCACAGCGTCCTGCAGTCTTCGGGTCCCGAAGCACCGAGCTTACACTGGCGTCCGCGGGTGCCCAGGGACCCCGTACGTCGGTCCGGGTCGCAGTAGTCGGGCGACTGCTCGGAAAACACAATGTCCTCCCTTCCTGGGACGCGGGGCGATTCTGGGATGAAGCCCTTGCCGCTGTTGCCTGCCGTCACGCGTATGGCACCCTGGAAGCGGTCCCGCAGTCGCAGGCCCACCTTGCTGAAGGTGGGCAGCTTGCGCCAGCAGGTCTTGAGGGAGCAGGTCCCGGACATGCCGTGGCAGCGGCACACGCGCTCCAGGTGCATCCTCACCGCCTGTGGCCGCCGCGGAAAGAATTGCGGCGCCGAATGTAGTGTCCGGTATGGTCTCGCGTTTGGACTCGGTCATATATCGTCAAGATGCAGGCTACAAACTCGCGCGAGGACAGCCTATGAGCAACAAGTGGTCGGGTTGCGGAGAACTAATGGAAGGATTGTGGAATACAGCAGCATGGATGAATGGCAGACAAAACAAAAACATATTGGAAAAAAAAACGCAAAATAAAGGAGGGGAGCGGGAAAGATGTCGATAGAATGTTGCTATACGTGCTTGGTTATGATCTCGAAGTACGAACACCGCTCTCTTAGGATTTGAAACTTGTCATGTGCATTTTGTTCGCTGCTCTTTTATTTTGGGTGACTTTCCGGTTTTGTCAGTATGTTTTACGAGAGAACATGCAGATGCCTGGCAGTGGAGAAAGATTCAGGCATGCAGTAGCACATGAGAAGACCTGCGATCAGTGGTGCGACGAGGGGGAGTAAAACGCCAGAGCCACGAAATAGGTCGAAGCTGGTATAAAATAGCTCAGAAAGGAACCTCATGGAAGTCTCAGAATGTGGCCAATATTCCTCTAAGAAGCTTAGCTTCTTCGGCCTAGAAACGCGCTAAAAGCCTCAAGTAAACTTCAAATAAAACAAAAACAAAAAGAGAGAGAGGGAGTGTGTGTAAATAAAGGCCGTGGAAATATTAGCAGCCTTAAAAACGGCTGTTTCAATGACTTTCATAAAGAGTCCTAGATTCAGCGTAAAATAAGCCTGGTTTCTTAGCGAACTACGAGGATAAAGGGAGGTTCTTTTCCAATGGTCCCCGAGTATTACCCTGCGGACAAAGCGAAGCGACAAAGTTCTCTCGTTACCTGTCTGCCGGCCTCGTAGTTGTGCGAGAGTATGGTGGCCCGGAGGTCTCCGACGCGCTTCCGGTTCATGAAGTCCCTTGACTTGTGGTAGCCGAAGTCTACGTAGTGGTCGCAGCCGGAGCGGCCCAGGGAGTCGGCCGAGTTGTGGCGCCTCCTGCACTGGCAGTCGAGCAGACGACCTTGGGCACACGCCTCCGTCAGGGCGTACACCACGCCGGCGGCCACGATGGCGTCCACGAACCCGGCCTCTTTGGTGTCTACGGGAAGGGAGGGGGGGGGGGGGGGGACAGACGGAATATCAGTAGGGTTCCGCATCTTCAGTGAATACCGATAAACAATGAAAAGTAACACTCGAGTCAGTTTTATCGAAATCGAGGCGAACGCTCGGGCTGCGTCATCGGTCGGCGTGTACTCGGCCAACCTCGTGACGTGAACGAGCGCTTAGTCCGTCGAGGGCTCGGATCCCGTCACAGGCTTCATGCCCAAGAAAGAACGACCGCCAATGTTGCGTCATGGTGTTTTAAAAAGGGTTTTATTAAGCTGGTATTTGATTTTGGAAAAAACCCAAACTTAAGGAAGTCTTTATCCACAGCAATACTCTGTGTTGATTCGGCACACAAGACCCCCTTAAAGGCCGACAACCAGCCTCGAGATTCTGCAAGGCAGAAGATCCTCCTCACCATGGGGGAGGAGGAAACAGGCAACGGTAGACAGGGTAGAAAGTGGGAGAGGAGGAAGCGAGGGAAAAGTGGAAAGCGCGAACTGGTCGTCGGTCTTTAACCCCGAGGCTCCTTCTCTATTCGGGAGCGACACCCATTGTGACATTTCCTTTCCTTTTGGTATAGGAAAAGTTTTTTTCCCTAAGTGTTTATGTCATGCACAAGGCTCCTTGAAGATTGGGAAATCCCATGCCCGTGTCCCTATTTCTAGGGCTGGGCGTCGAATAAAAATGTTAACCCAATTAATCGCCACCCTTTAATCGATTAATTATTCGCTTAATCGGTCCCGTTCATTTCCATGCCTAACATGTTAAAAACATCAGCATTTTTTGGGGCCTTCGGTGCATATGTGATAAGCAGCGCAATATAAAATTTATATTCTGAATCAACCTCGATGTGTAGTTGAGGACAGTTCAAAAACGCTCACACTCACAAATTCTTACTTGAGCTGTATTCAGCGGAAGTAAGAATCAGTGAGTGTGAACGTTTCGCATTTTTCCCTTTAGCCCCATGCATGAGGCGATCAGGTGATTTGTTGATGTTTTTCAGCAAGAGTGACCGCCTTTGATTGTTCACCACAGTCTCTCTGGCGCTGAACGCACACTCGCACGGCTTTGAGGTGGCCTGTACACGTGTAACCTTCTGCACTTGTCTGGAGTTGTAAATTCCGCCCCTACAGTTTACTGTAGGTTAAATTTCACCTAACGTGTGCCGTTGATATAGCTATACCCGTCCACGTCTGCGTGATGAAAGCATTTACCTTTTACTTTTTGTTTGTTCGTCAAAATTTTGCCGATTAACCGGTTAAAAAATTTAATCGGGACTAAAGCGCTCAATTAATCCGTAGGTTAATCCACCAATTGCCCAGCACTACTTATTGATTCAACATAGAATTCTATGAACACCGATATTTTTTCGCCACAAAAAATTGACACCGAAAAACACCGAATCTGTCATAAAAAGATAAAAACCAAAAATCCCCCAATCAAAAAAAAAAAAAAGACAAAAAAAAAAAAAAAAAAAACCGCGGAAGCAGGCAGCCCTAGTCACCCTTTGAAGATTGACGTCTTGATTGACTACTCGTGAAGATCGACGTTTTTACAAGTAGGGCTTTGCGACTAATCGATTAACCTTCCAATTAATCAATTAACGCGATTAGCTTTTTAACCGGTTAAGCGTCTAGAATCTGAGTTGTAAATTTCGAAAAGGTAAAATTGCCTGCTTACTAGCTGATGCACATTTATCGCTTTCAAGAAACAGCACCGTTGTTCAGCATTCATCACTCCGGATTGTAATCTGATAAGGTTGTAATAAAAATGCATAACACTTTCATTTTTAAAGTCGCTCGCTTGTCTTTACTTCTTGTAGATGGTACCTCATCAAGTTTCAAATAATGTTGTTCATTGTGTCAATAAAGGCAATTCTCTCTCCTCCTCTCTCTCTCTCTCGTTAATGACATTACAAGAAATGTAAAAATTAGTGTGCTTTTCCACTCTTTGAAAAGTTATTTTGACCGAATGACGTTGAAGAGAACGAACGCGTGTGGATGACGCTCCCAGCCTTTCATCGGAAGGCAGCCGCACTTTGTGTGCTCTGGAACCAGCGACAGACGATTCATTTGCAAGTGTGTGAATGTCGTCGACGAAGTATATTAACTACTCGTGAGAAATGAAATCGGAACCCCTACAAGTGTGCGGCATGCACCCGAAGGAAGGGCCCCGCATCGGCTGGGCTTAGCACCGACGCCATGACCAGCAGTGCGGTGCCCGGCCCGGTAGCGGCAAAGATCAGCCTAACAAGAGCAGGGGCACAATGACGAAGTCGACCTACGCCAAAATATTCTTGGGCTTTGCCAGAAAGGGGACGCGCTTTCCACCCGAGGTAAAGGCCCCGCGGCCGGTCAAGGCACAGCAGTACATTCATCTCGCTCGAAACATGGAGCTATAGTTATCATAAGTGGCCAAGCGTTGAATCGTCCTGGAACCTCCCTCGAGAAAGGTTTAATTCCACAGCCATATTCGCAAGTCATGCGTCAGCCATTCGAGACTCTTCGGCCGGTGCAGACGCACAACTGACGAGACCGGTTCGAGGACAAAGCCGCTGGAACTCGCGGAACTAGCACGGGGTGTGGAGAGCCAGTGGTTGCGTCGACTGCCGGTACAAACGTAAACCATTGGTAACCGACGAGGACGGAGTCACCGTGCCCCAGAAGAAAAGGAGAATCGAGCCGACCACCGGAGCAAGTAAGCTGACGTCTGTACCTCGTCCACCGAGGAGTTGTGTTTAGACTTGACCCTGCAAGGAGGAGCGTTGATGCTTCTTGCAGGGTCAAAAGAAAACAGTGGGAAAATAGTAAATTAATTAGGACGCCTTGCCATCTAGAACTGGTCATTTTTATCGACTAAAGCCCAACAAACAATATGCCATCGAAGACAAGCTTGTAGGAAAAGCACTTGTGTTACCCTTCTGAGGCAGGTTCACATACCTGCGACTGCTTACGACCGTGTGCCTTAAAACCTCTTAGAATCTCTTACGACGACAGAACATACTAGCGTCATCTCTCGAGTAGCCGTGGAGCATTTGCAGACACCATGAAACGCAGTTTATGGGTTACCTTATAGATGGCGCCAGCGTGCTAGTGTGTTCTCTCGTAGTAAGAAATCACGAGGACTCGGTCCTAAGCAGGCGCACGTGTGCGAAAGAGTTCTTTACGCAGCGATGTCCTTTGGGCCGCACAACATGGTCAGCTTTTGATAGAGGGTCAAAAGCCATAAGACGTTAGTATGTATTTGGGAGAAAACTCGGCGGTTACGCATTGCAGGAACATGCCAGCGTTTCTGGATCATGTTTATGGCAGTATACAACGAGTGCTCTAGATGTGACTGTCATTATAGGCGCGTTAGTTCGCCCACCTTTCATGAGGACCTTCTTCATGGAGGAGCGATGGGTGGAGCAGTTCCATCGGTGAAACCTGAACTGGTTCTGGCACTCCCGGATGCCCAGGTCCACTCCCCTGGCGATCTCACGGACCACCTTGGGCTCCTTGCGACAGATGCGGGCTTTGCGTCCCCGCAGCAGCTTCTTTTTCTTGCACACTCGGGCGGGCTCCATGAGCAGTTGCCACCGCATTGCCCTGTGGAGAAGGTTCCACGTTCAGAGTGATTGCGTGGCTTGAGCGACTCGTCTATTGTTTGTCAATTTGGAGAGAGGTGAACACGGGGACGGGGTTTCAGACCACGGTGCGCGGAGCGGGTCTCCGACTGGTGTGTTTACCGTCCTGTTCCGACCGTGCAACAAAGGTGGTTCCGAAGCGCCAACAAACTGCGTCACACGGGCCGGCTTGCCATGCTGTCGTCTGCCACGATCCTGGCGGTAACACTACGGCGGACCTGGATGCGGCAGACGTCTTGTCTGCTCAAGGTTCGCTCTCAGCTCAACAGTCCCTGGAAATTTTTGCGACGACAAGTTGGAACGCTGCGACGACGGCAGCACTTCCGTTCTATCGCTCTTTTTTTGCCAGAATTTTTATGATTAATTGCCAGGATGGCGACATCCAACAACACAGGATGTCGGCACCCATGAAGCACTTTGTTGCAACTCCGGGAACGCTTTCGATGGATGACCGTTATGGAACGCTAAACCCACTAGTCGAAGACGCGCTCCGGGCTCGGTAAAGAGACTGTTTCCACACAGCCCAATAAATGTACTAACTTCCAGGATTTTTTTTTTTATGTCTGATGCTGAAGGTTCGATAGAGACCCGGGTCGCGGCGAAATTACTGCTTCAGAGAGACAGCGATAAGGGAGGTTCCAGAAAAAAACGGTATATGGAGGACTGCAGCCGCCTGTTGAGGTGTTTGGCCAGCAGGTCAAAACATAGTTGATTTAATTGCTGTTAACTTTCTCAATTACCTTACAGTAAATGAATCCACCTATGAGTAAAATGTTAATTTATAAGTAGAATTAGCTGAAATAAGGTAATGACTTAACAATTTGCCTAACTTTATAATGAAAGTTCAACTTAAAAGGATGACAAATATTGTTTAAATTGTTTCTAGAAACAGTGACCCCCATCTAGGAGTCGTTTTAGAACAAATCTGGGCCCCAAAGATGAATTAGTAGGACGAAAAGCCTCAATACGAATGGACAGCTTGTAGACCCTGGAATGGGGAACATCTCACGGTCTACAGGATGTCGAATCATTACCAGCTCGCCCTCGTTCTATCACTGCTTACAATACGAATGCTTTTTTTTTCTTAAACAACTTTCTTGATTTAATTTTTTTGTTTTGTTCTGGAGAGGCGTTGCTATACTACATTCACCTACAGCTGACAATGCAGTGAGAGCAACACTCTCCCCCCCCCCCCCCCCCAATCTGCCGTCTCCATTTATACACCTGACAGCGCTCGTTTGTGCCTCGGTGTGAACATGAGCATGTGGCGAAATCTAGGCATTGGTTCAACAAGCAGCTAGCTTCCTCCGTAAGGTCAGCTTACGAGGTGGGATCAGAAAGTTCCGAGTCTGATTTTGTAGCGTAAAAAGAAAGCGATGCGCGCGCAGGAGTCGAAGGCAAGAACCTTCGTGTCTCGTTATATCAAAGGGCGTCGCTCTGTGAACATTTGGAGCTGAATTACACGAGAGATTTTGTGACCACGCGCACGGGCACAATGGCGATTTCACCACAAACTGCAAACCAGAGCGAGAGTGAACATCGATTCGCGTCAAAATCGGCAAATGTAAAACAGAGACCTTTGAAATGATTGAGCGGGCTGGTGTCAAAAAGCAGTGAATTTTGCGAAGTGTTTTAAACGCACTCGAGCTTCAGGAACGGCGATTCTTATCCGACCTCTCCATGACTTCAGTGACGTTCTGCCATTCTTGAGGCGCGCGTGCCACTCAAGACACCTCGCATACCTCACTACTCTTTGACATAAGCCTTCTAAATAATTTCAGAGGTATCTATTTTAGATTGACGTAAAGTTATTAGTTTATATTAGTTTATATTAGGTATATTAGTTTGACGTAAAGTTGACGTTCGCTCTCGATTTGATTTGCAGTCTATGGAGAGATCGCCATTGTACTCGTGCATGTGGTCGAACGAACTCGTGTAGCGCAGTTCCAAACTTCCACAGAGCAGGGGCGGATCCAGAACTCCATTTTTTTTGGGGGGGGGGGGGGGGGCGGAAAATTTGTAAGGATACTATTATCCCATTCTTCTTGGTTCACCGGGGGGTCCACCAATTGCACATTGCCTCCGAGAGGAGGGAGGGGGGGGGGTCGACTTTGTTTGGGGGGGGGGGGCGGTCGCCCCCCCCCCTTCCCCCTTGAATCCGCCACTGCCACCAAGCGAAGCCCTTTGGCATAATGACGCAGGAAGGTTTCTGCCTTCGGCTTCTGCGCGCACATCATTGTGCTGCCTTCTTGTTTATACGCTACAAAACCAGTCTCGGAACTTTTTCATCCCACCTCTGTGTGCGAACGGACTGCAGTGTAGAATTTTTTATGAGTTAGTATAGGTAATATGGAGTCCGTAGAATCCTGTTGATTTTTAAGAGTTACGAAAGAATTTGTATTCCAGGTTCAGAAATGAGCCGTCTGAGGACGCGATTTAAGTGTCACGTGTTTTTTTTTTTTTTTTATCAAAATTAATTCGGTCTGTGAGTTTTTTTAAAGAATCATTCGCATTACATATACGATACTATATTGATGACCTTCATGTATAGTATGAAATTAAAAAAAGATAGAAAAATTTGAAACAATCTTTATTCTCGTTTAATAAAGATTGTTTTAAAGTTTCCTTTTTCCCACGTACAGTGAGAGAATGGAATATACTACCTGTTACTGTTTTTTCACTACATGATTCTGAGTTATTTTCATTTTATTTCGACACAACGTAACTATTTGTATATGCCAATATATATACTCGTTTGTGCATTGATTGCCGCTGATTGTCTATATTGTTTGTATTTCGTGTACCTGCGTTTCTGCGTGTTCTTCGATTGCTATTTTTATTGCTTTTCAAAATATATTTGTAATTACCACTCGTATTGAAGTCCTTAACTTGTACTAAAAGTATGTAAAACAAAAACTACTTAGCTCTATTGTTGACCCACAACTACAAATAGGACTTAGTAATCTACAGAAAAAAAAAGTCCAGATTTTCCACTGAGTAAATGTCGGTTGTACACTTTACGCATTTGCCCTAATGCTAAGATATATGAATGTGCCCAATAAACGTTTAGGAACATTCAAAAGCATATAATAACTTTGTGTTTTGCGAATAATTAAATTTTTAAAATGCAGTTTCGGATAATACGCTAATCGGTATTCGCTTCCATGTCAACTGCGACATTCATACTTTTTGAAGTGTTGTTCGCGGCGGGTTAGCCCCGTTGAGTGCGCTTTTTACCGAGCATCGGTGCGCGGCAGAAAAGCAATACCCGCGGAGCACCGCGGGTATTGCTTCCCCGCAGTGACCGAGTGCTTGGCGAGAAGCGCACTCAACGGGGCTAACCCGCCGCGGTTGAGCAAAAGTATGTGTTAAGCAGCGACGTCTTGACAACCCCCGTTCAAAATTCGTGTTTTTTTTAATTTGAAATAGAAGAATAAAACATGTGCACATATTAAGCAGATTTATAAATCCTCTCGATTAGGATAACTGCGACAAATCTGTCGTTTACACGCCACAGTTCATGCAGTAGTTATATTGAAATAACTGAGCTTAGAAGTGGACAAGTGGAAGATAGGGAAGTACCTCCACGGTGTTCAGCTGAAGTTTCGTATAAGCATGGTAAACGGTGATGAAAGACTTAGAGACGCTATTCGATATTCGAACAAAACTATTATTCGCTCCGAATTACCTTTGAACACAAAATTCACTATACGCAGATGAGTAACAGCTTATATAATCATCATATAATTTATGTTTCAATATTTTATGGGTCAAATCATATACGATATCTTTCTTGTTTCCATTGGGTATAAAAGCTGTAACTTAATCTGCTAGGCTATATTGTGAAGGTCAAAAACTAACTCTCACGATAGTTGAATACTGTAAAATACATTTGAAAAGAAATTGACTTTGTCACGTCATATTTTTAAACTTCGCGAAAAGTTTCAAACGCAAAGATATTAAAGATGTTAACTAGAGTCGCTTTGATGTGACGAACAGCCATGACTTTTCTTATTCAAATTTACAGATCGCTCTGGTCATTTCTCCAAACTCGATTGGGGAAATATGCATTCCATACAATAACTCAAGAGAAAGGTTTGTAACTAAAAGTATTTATGAAGATTTTTAATAACGCCTCCTTTTCTGTATCGGAACAGGGGCGTCGGAAGTGTTCGGCAGATATGGGGCAACTGCAGGAAAGTAAGCCATCCCCCCCCCCCCCAATTGCACACACACACACACACAAGTTGTTTACCAGAAATCGCTGAAAGGTGGGGAAAGGGGGGAGGGAAGGAGGGGGACGATCACCCCCGTGCCCCATTGTGCCCCCCCCCCCCCCCCCCTTTCCTTTTCGACGTCACTGTAGGGGAGCCTCTCAGAAAGCTCAGACAGATGCTTAACATCACTACCAGACTAAAATTTGTTGCCTGTCATCGCCATTAGGGGGCTGCGAACGTGTTAGTTCTATTCGTCCCAAACTACCATTTTAAACCCTCTAAAGTTATTGCCTGCTTACATTAAAACCCCGAAAAAGCAGAACTCTAAGTGCATCCGTGAACCATATTTACACGTCGTGAAAAGGGCAATTTTACACTTCCGCAAATCACCTTTGAGCTGCCGTAATAACGAAACTGAAAAAAAAAGAGGGGTACAGCGATTGATCTTTGAGAGAGAAAATAGCGAGCTCTCTTTCAAAGAAGACGCCTCTGATACACTGGGGAGGAAAAAGGAGGGAAGGGGGGGGGCTGCCCCCCTTTTCCCTCCCCCATGTATCAGAGGCGTCTTCTTTGAATGAGAGCCCGCTATTTTATCTCTCAAAGATCAATCGCTGTACCCCTAATTTATTTTCCTTGAGTTTCGTTATTAGGGCAGCTCAAAGGAAGCCTCTAAGCCCATCGGTTTTAAAAGCGTCTCAACAGAGGTGTTAAAAGATTACACCTCGCGGCGCCAGAAACAACAACGCGTAAACCGACTTCAACACCTTCGCCCTCGCTCTCAATCGATACCAATAAAAAAAAAAGTGTTTTTTTTTTCGGCTTTAGCGAACGCGGACGAAAAACTGGGCAAGGCATTGAAGACGCAGAGACGAAGGGAAGGCGGCAGCTGGCACCGCCGTTTACACGGGGGTGACGTTTACAACGACCATACGCGCGCGCGCGCTCTTGTGCTTGGAAACATGGAAGGCAGACGTCAGGGCAGCAGGGAGACCGGTGCAAAGACTTGAGTCGGGGGGCCGATGCCACCTGGTAGTCAAGGCCTGTACATGACGTCATCGTTCGTGGGTCCCCGACTCGCCCCAAGCGGCAAACGCGCTGAAACTCGACGGGAGACGCAAACGTGCGGCCGTCGCCCCGTGCTAAGGTCGCCTACGTTGTGAGACACTGCTAGACGCGTTGACGGCCTTATGTGGATCCTCTAGTTGTGACGTTTTGGGGGAGGACGCTTCAGGCCTTGTCTTGAGCGGGGAGATCGGCGCGGGCTCGACTCGGGCCCGGTCTTGTTTACGTGGACGGGGCATCGGGGATCCCATAACGATTCCGTCTACGCGGTACACAGAGTCATCAAGCACGCGTCGTCCCCTCCCTCCCCGGCCGTCTCCTGGGGAGATGAAGGAACGACGATGGCCAGTCGTAAATATGTAGACGTTGGGGGCGCAATTATACGGCGTCCGTGATAGAAAACGAAACCCGGTTTTTGGGTCCGCGTAGAATAAACGAGGCCTTGTTGCAAGCTGAAAGTCCACCAGAATGTGACGGTGGTGGTGAGGATGTAGAATGCGAAAGTCTTGGGGACGTGACGTTACCTGAATAGAAAAAAAAAATGCCGACATTTTTTATAAGCTTTCGTTGTTGATTTCGTGTGTATTTCACCTTTTCTCCTTGTCGGCGTGAGTTGCGCGCGTTCTTCAGTCTTGGAATATTTTTCCAAGTTGCTGAATCACCCGATCGCTCCATCAAACTACAACTCGGTTCGATTTTTATTTTTTCCCAGTTGTGAGGCTACTTTTGTATGGGGGCCAGAGATGTCACGTGAACAAGGGTCTGCTCAGACGAACCTCGGTTGCTATCTGTGCGACCTCATTGAAGCCTAAGACTTAGGTAACTTCTTCAACAAAGACTCGGGTAACTTCTTCCCAAGAAGCAAAATTTCTTAACGAAAAGTTGCTTGCCACTTCAAGTCTAGCCAGAAGATTCTTTTCAAGTTAATTCAATTAACCGATACTACCTTCGTAATTTTTGTGCTTTCAGTGTCCACCCTTTCCATCAAACGTCCCGTGTCACGCATGACTTGGCTGGGCGGAATCCTTCTTCCCTCGTTTTCCTGAAGCACCAGGAACGCTTGTCAAGTTGATTATACTTCTACGATTTGCGTTGGTTCGCAAACAAGTGGCAAAATCGTGTTACTCGTTTGCCCGCGCAAAATGGAACGAAGTATAGCTACTTGGTTTCCGAGAAAGTAACATTCAGAGCTTGCTATAGATAATTCTAATTATCGTCTCCTACGCGCTGCCTTCTTTGTCTACTAGATTGGATTGCGTTCCGTGCCGTAGCCCTCTGCGGAATACCAAACGCCGCGTGCATAAGCCTACAATTCAGTGTCTCGGAATATTTTTGTTTTTTGCCTGGGTGATAAGTTTTGGAAGGTGGATATAGCTGTTAGTCGAAATGCAGATTGGTTTGACAATGATTCGAATCTGGTGACGCACTAACTACGTTTTGCCTTACGATGAACAGGACATGCCGCTACGTGCCATCGAAACCATTCCCATGCCGTGTGTGTTCCACGTAACTTTTTGGGATGTGCGCGGATCACGTGTTAGTTAACACCACTGGATCGCCTGGGCTGGACCGTGGCCTCTGCTGCGGTCAGGCACGTACCCAAGGGGGGGGGGGGCATGGAGCCCGGCCCCCCCTTAAAACCTTCCATTTTACTGGGATCTCCTCTCCCCCTCCCCCTTATACAGCATTTTGTCATGGGCGGCACCCCCCCCCCCCCCCCCCCCTAAACAAAATCCTGGCTACGTGCCTGGCTGCGGTTCATTGTAGGGAGTAGCGGAGCGTTGTGCATAGTTGGAAGTGGTTGCTTTTCTTAGTCACGAGCTCTAAGCACGTGAATATGATGTCAAAAGAGCGAGTCATCTCTGCATCGCCTCTTGCGGAGTATAGTGTGTTGACGCTCTCTGCGTCGTTGGCACGTCAACTTCACGTTGCTGTATATCTTGAGAGAAAAATAAAATAGAAAAAGAAAGCAACTTACATGGATTCTCGGTAAGCCTCCATTTTAGGATCTAGAAGTCGTCTTCTGTTGTGGTTGTAGTGGCCGATTCCGTTCACGCCCCCAGACACCTTGGCCGTCCTGCAAATGCAACGACTGGAGGTCAACGTCTAGATCGTCTCTGGGATTAGTATGCCACATACGCGGAGTCTGACTCCGACGTTCACGGCGCAGACTTGTGCATCGACGCAATGATCCGCGGGCTATAGATTTACATTTTACGAGGTCAAATTTCGACCGAAATATCTAGCCCTAAAACTTTAGGGTGAAGGCTGCGCTACGTTCCGTAAATTTATCACCCACCCCAACTATGCAAAAAAATCCGGAAAGATGGCTCTGACTACTGCTATATATACACGCATTTCACGAACGCTTACCACTGGCGCCGTCGTTAATAACTGGGATAGTTTAAATAAAGTTTAAATTATTTCTAAACCCTTCGCTGTTATTTTCCATATGGGATATTTTGTTTTCTTGCTTTTTCTTATAGTGAGGTACCAAAGTGATGGACGTGGTCACCAACTCAATGCACCAAATGCGCTTGGACAAGAAAACTGCTGGCTTTGGGCGAGCGCAAACACCCATTTTTAAAAGATCAAAATGTCTTGTTTTTGACGTCACCACTTTGATATGACGTCAGAAACATGACTTGTTGTAGCACTGTATGAAGCATGTGACCGATAGGCCCTTTGTTTTTTCAGATATATTTTGGGCGACCTAACACTTTGATTTTGGGACAAGAGTATACAGAGGGTGCGAACGTGAAAGATTTGTCTGCAACTTCCGCTACCTTGAAAAATAGAAAAACTAAAGTTTTACATCTTTTTTTTTTTTGTTTAAGCATTCCATTTTGGTGTGATTTGTTTCTACTTATAATAGCCGGTAAAACATGAAAATTTGATCTGCTGACACAATTGATGTGCTGTAGATATTTTTTATGACTGTTCAAAAAGATGATAATTTAATTAACCTAGATTTTATGGTTCTGGAAATAAGGGGGAGGTGAGGAGAATGTTCAAAAGAAGAATGTTGAAATAAATAAGTGGCCTTATAGGCGTAACATCGCAGAGGAAAGACACAGCCACGCACACACGAACCGCATTTTTGTTCACATCTCGAAAGAAAATGTCAAGGGTATAGGATACAACATTTAATCGCAAAAACGATTAACACAATTCTTTCCTTCAAGTATTATACAATCGAGAATTCAGCTCCAAGCTTGGGATTCCGCTCACCCCAAATGGTTGTTGTTGTTTTACCTAATTTGCATAAAGTTATTAGTATTTTTAAAACACAACCTTTCATATATTTGTGTGCAATTTTTTTTTTAAAAAACAAAATACAGGGTTACAGAGATATGGTCATCAAATATATTAATGCTTCTTAATTTTCGGGTTTTGTAATTTACTAAATTTGAGGTTATAAAAGTTGGGATTTTATATTTTCAAGCGAAGTTCAGGATATAATTGAGGCTACTGTGCGTCAATTTCGCTATTTGGAAAATTTTTGATTATATTTTCGCTCAAAGTAAATTTTAAGCTTGACTATAAATTGCTCGCAGAGATGATGTAGACAATCGAAAAGCGAATTTCACACCCAAAAATTATCGACTCTTTGTTACAAATCCCGTGGCCCTGTTCACAGTGTTTCAAGCACAACTTTCGAAAACTTGCATGAAAAGTTGTTTTTATTTAGTATCGTATTTATTTGTTTATCCTGCTTTGAAGAACACACGAGAAACTACACAGACGTTGCGAATCACTAAAGATAAAGAAAATAAGATTGAAATGTACACATGCCAAATGTTTTATAAATGAGTTCTTTTTTTGACGACTGAAAATCAATACCTATATTTATTGTTAGTGGCGAAATATTATTTACAATGCTCTCACTCATATCAGAGGTGATAGCTTGGGGTTTCTAGACCGACGTGAAACACTCCGATGGATTTCACAAAACAAGGTGGTACATGTCTAGAACTAACTTTAAAAAAAATTGAATCAAGTGACTCAATATTAAAAAAAATAATGACTCAATATTAAAAAAAAAAAAATAGGAAATCAGGTTTAGCCCGGTTATGTTCCAACCTTGATGAAACTTGCTCGGCGTGCACATTTCGGATAACGCGATCTTTTTTTATAAAAAGCTTACGCGAGATTTAGGGTAAAATCAGGTTTAAACCAACACTTGATCAAGCTGTTAAGGTGGCGATGCAAGCGAGTTGGTTCATGACTTAGGAAATTAGAAACAGCGCTTGTCCTGTGCTCTTCTCTCGTTGTCTTCGTCTTTTTTCGCGCTGTTTCTAATTTCCTTGATCAAGCTGTTTCGAGGTGCAAATTTTGAATAGAATTGAGTTTGCCCCCGAAACGAAAAAGTCATAAGTATACTGCCTTCTTTATGAAATCTGCTTCAATATGATTGAACAAAACAAGCATGTAGCAGGTATTTTTGAGAAACGCTTATGCAAGTGAAAAGAAGCATTGTAATTCTATTTTTCTGGAATACTTGTTGTGTATAGAAAAGTTCTACTGAAATAATGTAAATTAAATAACCTTTCGAGACAAGCGTTCGCACCCATGCAGCTTTGGAGATTTAATTCCAAATCAACAATTTCGCACAGTTTGGAGACACGCACGTCACACGAATATCCATAATTGCCCACGACCGAATAACTTTAGCCGACACGTCCTTTTGTAATAGAGTACGAACTTCGTGCAAGCATGAAGCTCAATGGGACAGAAAACAAAAACTAATTTTAATTGGTCGCGGGAGGTTGTGCCTATAACGTGTACTCTGAAGCCTCCTAAACTGCGCGAACTTGTTCATTTACACTCAAGTAGCAAAGCAAAAAAAAAAAATCTGCTTGAGTCAAAGCTAAGGCTTCCAGTCGAACTAGCTATCAGGCCTAATCGAAACTTCCACTGAAATTAAAGGATTCACCGGAAAGTCATTGTAAAATGATTAAGGACTTTTTTTTGTATAACGACACATATTTAGCAGAGTTTAATATAAAACTGAATTATACATAAAAAATAACATAGGAATAGATCTAATATGCATTTATTCTAATTCAACAGCAAAGTGCACCATGCATTTATCAGCTTCATCTGTTATTAGCTGTCACAAGGTTGATTCTGGTCCATTTACGACAAAAACGAACGAGCACGCCGAAACAACAAAGCCATTCAAGTTAGGTTTAAAGATGTTCAAACTATCCGCATTTCTCGAATAACTTGAATACCTTCCCGTGCAAAGTGAGTGCTAGACAAAAACAAGAATTCACCAGAAAATGAAAAGGCTGATCCTTCTATTTACATCTGTTTATTTTGTGTTTTTACTGTAACATTCTTGTTTTCGTTAGGTTGATAAATGGCTTGGGTAGTTGCACTTCGGCCATTGTTGTTTCTGGTTGTTTCTGGTGCAGTCTGCATTATAGTTGGAGGGTGCCAATGGGCCCATGGTTAGCAACTGCCGCGTTGTTTTTGGTGGGGTTCGGCGGCGCTGCAGCGATTCGGCTTTTGGGGGAAACCATTTTTCACCTTTCAAATTATAGCCTGTCACTCGAGGCTGGCAACACTGACGCCGTGGCGCCTCCCCAACTTCCATGGACGCAACGGCGCCACCGGTGGAGGTTGTGGGAACTTGAGCCGCTGGTTTGTTTCCTTCGAGATGCGCTCAGTTTGTGCTTTACGGGAGACTAAACGTGCGCAGGGCGAGCAAAACAAAAAACGCGGTTTACGCATTTTTGTTGGAGTGAGTGCTTAAATGCTGTAATTACACATTTGCAAACTACAGGGGTAATCAAATGTATTTTTTTGTAGTTCTTTTGAAATTACATTACCAAAACGAGCAGAGTTAAGTGTAGTGAAATGTGATTAGCTACCCGTGCTAATTGTGTTCAAGGTATAACTACGTCTTGAAAAAGGTTGATTTGAATTGCCCGGTTTCGGTAAATTGGCATTCCTCGCTAACTTTCGAAGATAGCGACGAACCAAATGTTTTCGCCGATAATTGCTGATTGTAAAGCCAGCGTCACACAAGTTATCAATAACCACATATCTCTTCATGATTGATAAGCGTATAAAACAAACTAGATTTTTTTACACCGAAATCAACGCCAGGGAATTTGAGTATGGACATTTACGAGGTATTGCCAGAGTTGAAGCAACTCGTCGACAAAGAACACCGATTTTTCCGCAACCAATGAGGGCCACAAAACGTCCAGAAATTTTACTCCGGAATAAATACCGCGGAATCTCGCAAACATATCAATAAATAAAAATAAAAATTATTTGCTGTCGCGAAACAAAATAAAAATTAAGTCACGTTTAGTGATCGACGTCTTGTTTTTCTTACCACGCTGGTAAAAAAATATTGCAACAAAAAACTTACAGGCTTGCGCTCGACTCAAAATGTGTCGAGCGCAAATCACACATTTGACACACGCGATGTGATGGTATCACATGACGCGGCTAAACTGTGACGTCAGTTTCCCCGCTAAATATATCGCGGAAGTTTATGTCAAGTTACGTGAGCAGGTCATGTGATCTCAAGTCAAGTGACGTCAATTTCCCCGCTAGCGAGGAACTGTGGAACAGTTGAACCTGTCGCTTGAGCGCAACATACGTTGTATAGTTTACATATAAAAGTGACTGATAAAACACTTTCTGTTAAAAAAAAAGAAAGAATAGTCAGTGTTTTGCGATTACACTCATGTGCATGCAATTTCAAGTTTTCTGCGTTAAGAATACCTTTAGTTTGTTCTTTATGAGTGGCGCAACAAACTATTAAGCAGATGCTGATGATGATGCAAGCAGACCTGTCCACGTATGGTGAGGCACACGAAATGCCATATAGGATGAGCAAAGCTGACATTCTTTGAACGTAGAACTTGATTAGTACAAATTCCGCACATGCAGATATCGAGGCGTAAAAATATTCCCGAGATTTGACTGTATATTCCTGTTGTCTATCTAAGGCGTACAGCCATATCCGAACAGTGTTCTTGTATTACACATATACTTTTCTTGCACAATTCAATTTTCGTGTATTTCTGGACAAGCAGACTCGAAGCCCACGCA